GTGCCCCGTTGGCCTCGTGCATATCCTTGGCAGTGCCAAGGGGTGTCGCCAGTTATGGGGGGCTCACCGCTTCCTCTCGGAGATCGAGGGCCGAGGGCGAGGGAGGCTCGAGGCTCCTGGGGTCGGGTCCTGGAGGGCCCTGCGGGGTTCACGGGGAGGTCCGTTTCCTGGCGGCGGTGGCGAGTGGTGGCCCCCCCCAGTGGCGACCTCAACGTGGCAGCGCCTGGCTTCTGTCCCGTCCGCGCTCGGGGCCCGCACCCGCGCGCGGCGAGACGTCGCCGCTGGCGTGCGGACGTGCAGGAGGCGCGCGAGCAACTTTCGGGGGTAACGACGCGGGGGACACATTGGAGACCCATGCCAAGAAGACACCCTGCTTGCCTCCAGGTTGCCCTGGGTTCCTCTGGTTTCGGTGGCTTTGCGATGGAGAGCGTGACGTTCCCACACCCCAAAAATCAATGGACGCCCTGGGGTCCCAGGGATGGTTTTTTTGTGTGTGGGAGGTTTCTTGTGGTCGGGCCTCCACTGTATGCACAGGGGGAGGCATCGACCCCCAATCGCCCATGGATCACAGACAGGGGTGTGATAGTCCCACCCCGCCCAGAGGAACGGTCGGATTCCCTAACAGGGGCCTATCGCCGATCCATCGGCGATGTATCGCCGATTCCAGGTCGATGCCCCCCCCCCTATGCCAGTCCCCCCCTACGTTGCCCTTCATATTTGTCCCCGTGGCCACACCCTGTGGGCAATCTGCTCTGAAAGCTGCCGGCCTTTCCGAGCAGATGGCGTGCGAGGTGGCGGTCCAGCCAAATGTCCAGCAGGATCGAAAAAAGTGCGGGAAGAATGGGGACGAATACGCACAACAGCTACTCACCATGTTGAACAAGACTCGCTCTCGGTGTAGCCGCGGACGATGTCCATTTGAGACAAACACGTCGCCTGCCCAAAAGCGACCGCTGTCGGTTTTAGGCAACATGTGCTGTTGGGCATCGTGCCGATTTCGTTCCGTACCACTTCGGTCCTGCCCAACATGTTGTATCACCTGACGGCCCAGCCAAACGTTGTATCACCCCGATGGCGGCAGTTTCTTGACGCTGTGTGCGCTGCTGGACATCGCCCACCCGCCCGCAAAAAGGCTCCTCGGCATCCTGGAAGGAGGATGAGTCGCTCCAGGGCCTCCCAGAGCGCTCTCAGAGTTCCTTTTTGCGCGTTCTGGAACCCGCCGCGGCGCCCGAGGCATCCTCCGGACCCACCTCGACTACACGTCAGAGTGACCATCCGCCAGAGTGGCCTTTGGGTGCGGGCCCACTGGGGCCCCCCGATCGACGAGCTCGATACGACGGCAGCGTCTTGCGCGCTCGTGTCTGGCCCCCCCGCCGCCCCCCAAAAAGCCGCGCACCGAAAGCCACTCTCACCCATCCCTCTGCAGGAGGAATATCCAAACATAGACAAGCAATTGTCTGGGGACGATGTTTTGATAGGATGTTTGGGCATTTTGGGGGTATTGTTTAACTGTCCTCATTTGTCCTTCAGAATCCTCAGGAGAGGAAAAAGCACACACACAATTAATCCTCGATTCCCCAGAAAATATAGGAAAATATGGGAAGTGGGGGGGGAGACAGAAACCCAGAAACTGTTGGAAAATATGGGGAATTCTTTTATTGGTGTGTACTTACTTGTGTGTCCCAGGGCCCCTTCAAATCCAGCTGCAGGGGGACATGCCCGACCCGAGCGCAGCCGAGTCCTCCAGGCCCACCGTCTCTCTCGCGACTCCCGGATCTCATCCGAATCTGCCTCGTCCTGCCTCCGTCTGGCGCCCAGGGCTTCGCCTGCCGGGCCCACTTCTTTTCCACCACCGCTGCCAGAGGGAGGAGGAGGAGGAGGAGGAGGAGGAGGAGGAGGAGGAGGAGGAGGAGGAGGAGGAGGAGGAGGATGAGGAGGAGGAGGAGGAGGAGGAGGAGGAGGAGGAGGAGGAGAGGAGGAGGAGAGGAGGAGGGGGAGGAGGAGGAGGAGGAGGAGGAGGAGGAGGAGGAGGAGGAGGAGGACCTCCTCGTCCTCCCGTCTCCGCCGTCCTACGTATGGCAGCGGTGGTGGAGAACTTGCCCATCATCGCCTGCTGTCTCGCGATCAGGGGGCCCCAGCGTCGGCGCGCCGTCCATCCCCGTGTTGACGTTGCCAGATAATCCGACGCTGTGGAGAAGCTTCAGCGGGCTGCTCCCCAGATGTTTCGTGGGGTTCTGGGTATCTTCCCAGCCGCGTCTCACCCGCGTTTCTCCTCCTCATCCTCTTCCCTTTTCCGTCTCGCTCGCACGCACATCAGACATGCGCGCGCGCAATGAGCACACTTGCATGCATCAGACTGCCACGCAGCACGCGTGGGGTTGTGGTTTTCTTCCCCACCGCGTCGCACCCGCGTCTCCCTCACCTCCCTCCTCACCTTCTCGTCGTACACTCACAAACACGCAGACGCGAACACACACACACACACACACACACACACACACACACACACACACACACACACACACACACACACACACACACACACACACACACACGCACGCACGCACGCACGCACGCACGCACGCACGCACGCACGCACGCACGCACGCACGCACGCACGCACGCACGCACGCACGCACGCACGCACGCACACGCACGCGCACGCACGCACGCACGCACACACACACACACACACACACACACACACACACACCTCACGCACACAACGAACACACAGCACACATCAGACACGCACACACACACACACACACACACACACACATCAGACATACACCAGGCAACACAGCACCACCTACACCATACCACACAGACCATAAACACAGCACGCGTAGACACACCCACACACAAACACATCACACAACGCAACACCACAAATACCACCACACACACACACATCAGGCACACAGCCACACACGCACCAAACACACAAAAGCGCACATCACACTTAGCACACAGTGTGCACACCGGGGGTGCGACGTTCCCCTCAACGCATCCGACGCCACGGACACAGCCGGAGGCCCTGGACCGGAGACGGAGAGGGCGGGGCGGGCGGGCGGAGGGTTTCGCAGCTGCCGCGCCCCGCGTCTGAAGGCTTCGCCCTGCGCCTGTCCTGATGGGCCTGCCTCCCACCACCACCACCACCACCATCAGTTGGAAGGGGAGAAGGAGGAGGAGGAGGAGGAGGAGGAGGAGGAGGAGGAGGAAGAGAGGAGGAGGAGGAGGAGGAGGAGGAGGAGGAGGAGGAGGAGGAGGAGAGGAGAGGAGGAGGGAGGAGGAGAGGAGGAGGAGAGGAGGAGGGGGAGGGGGAGGAGGAGGAGGAGGAGGAGGAGGAGGAGGAGGAGGAGGAGGAGGAGGAGGAGGACCCCCTCACCCTCCCAAGTTATGGTGGTGGTGGTGGAAAACAGGCCCATCATGTCCGCAGCCATTTCTGCTCCGAGCTCCGGTTGCTCAGATGTCGGCCCTCGCTTGATGCGGTCGCTGTGCCCGTGATGTCTCCCGAGATGCTCGTCGGCAGCGCACGCTCGAAAGTGCACGTTTTCTTTGCCCGTCGAGCCGAGCACGGATGCGCGAAGGAAGCTCGGCGCCGCCAGGCTCAACGCCCGTGGGCACTGCCGGAGCGTGCTGCCCGCAGCTGTGCTGGTGCTGCTGCTGCTGGACCGTGCCTGGCTGATGTGGCGCTTGCGGTGCTGTCGTGGCAGAGCAGGCCTCGCGACCGTACAAGGAGGTGTCATCAGCGAGTTCGTCTCCAGCACTCTTTTCATCAGGGTCGGCAGTTAGTGGCGCTGCGTGCTCGGTCCAGGGACGGTGTTGATGAAGACGATCTCGACGATGAGGATGAAGAAGGCCTTGACTTCTCAGTGGCTCCATGGGCCGAGACATGCGAGGCAAAACCTATTTTGGTGGTTTCTGATTTCCAGGGGACTGGAGCTCAGCTTCTGCTGAGGAGTGCGTGGGCACAGTTTGGCTCCTCCGAAGCAGCGAACCTCATTCTGAAGACCAATGTTCGCTCAACCGAGGGCATCGACTCGGTCGTAAACGAAGCGTCCGCATGTGGCGCTATGATTGTCTACACGCTGGCGTCCCGACAGCTAAGTTCCTACATGAGCTACGAGTGCCGGAAGCGTGGTTTGCATTACGTTAACGTCTTGGAGCCGCTGCTCATCAAGATGGAAGCGTGCTTCCACCACGCGCGGCTTGAGAAGTGCTTCGGCATTGATAGCGCTGCCAGACAGGAGCATGATACATCATCTGATCAACCAGCTGTCTTCGCCGTATCTTGTGGGAGTGGCCGTTGCACTTTCCATTTGGTCTGCGCGGCGCTCAGGCTGTTTCCACAGTGCAGCCTGCGCCAGATTACTGTTTGCCCTGAGATGCGCACCTTAGAAGAAATAAGACTGTTGGTGAACAAGGCCGAGGAAGCCAACGCGCTGATTGTATTCACTTTTGCATCGCCTGGCATGAGCCGGTTCATGCGTCGAGAGTGCGAGCTTGCAGGAGTGCGCTATGCTGACATATTTCAACCGTTGCTAGTGGCGATGGAAGTTTACTTGGATCATCCATTCTTTGGGGTCTCCGGCGGCCTTGTTTTGAATGCGCTGCACGAAGCAGAGCTCAGGTGGGATGTCCGTGCAGTAACCACTGATGGAACTGATTTCAGGTGGTAGGAGCAGCGGCATCTGCAAAATGAAGAAGACACTTCTGTGCGCCCGTGCTCCCGTCAGTCTCAGCGAGGGCGACGGGTGGCAGCGTAGGTGAAACGAAGTTGAGCAATTGATTGTCGATCAGTAGTTGTATCGGGTATGTTGATTGGCGAAGGTTGCGCGCAGGTCGCGAGCGTGCTTCAACCAGGCCGCATGTGGGTCGAATGCGGTTCTCTGGAGCAGTTGCCGCCAGCAGGCTGCGGGTGGATGGCAGGCTGGTCGCAGGGCGCTCGCAGGCGGGTCGCTTGCCTTGCAGGCTTTGGTTCGATGTTTGTTTCGGGGACTTTCCTCCTGGGGCCCACCTAACGGATCTGTTCGACTCTGCTTCGAGTCCATCCCGACTCCGTAGCGATTTTGGCCCAAGCGTGCACGTTGGCGCAGTGCGGCGGGGGCGGGCCGGGCCCGCCAGGAGGGCCGCCGGGGGCGGGCCTAGCCGCGGCCATGGTGGGCCAGCGCGTGGCCGTGTCGATGGCCAGCAACTTCCTGCCGCTGCTGCTGCTGACGGTCGTGCCGGTGTGCGCCGTGCTCGCTGGCCACGTGCGGGCCCCGCACCTGATGGTCTCAGACATCATTGCCTCCGGGCCGCTCTACAAGGCGTTCTACGCCTTCGGGTTCACATACTGCGCCTACGGCTCCAACACCATCTGGACCGAGGTCATGCGCCACGTCAAGGCGCGAGCCCCGGCACTGCGGCGGGAGGCGGACCGCTTCCTCATCGTCCTGCACTGGGTGGTCTTGCCGTGCCTGCTGCTGCTGTCGACCTTCTCCTACGACCACGAGGAGCCCGAGCACGGACTCGACGGCTCGGGCAGGCAGCCGCGATCCTGGGCCGAGGGCATCCCCAGGGACGCTGGCGCGCTCGCCAGCTGGCTTGTGCACGTACTTTCCACCAGCCTCTTCTTCTTCGGCGCTGCGGTCTGCGGAGGCATCTACGTGAGGCAGATCATGCCGCACCTGAAGGACAAGGGGCTCGTGCATCCCAGAGACTTGGCCTGGAGTAGGGTGGCGTGCGGCGGTCTCGTTTACGGCGTCTTTATCACGGCCATCGTCCGGGTTCTGCACATGTTCCACGACCAGCACCTGTGGTGTTGGCCGCTCGCGGTCTTCGAGGTGGCTCTGATTCTCCTGTGCATCGTCGTGAATACGATGGGGACGCTCCAACTACTAAGCGAATTGGATAAGGACGAGCCAGCAATAGACTTCAAGGAAGCCTTTCTTCTGTAGAGGCGCGAGGCGCATACTATCATGTGGTTGGACGTGGTAGCACTCCGCGCCGTCGTTCCCGTCATCGCTGACCTCGCATCCCTAGTGTTCCGCCTGCGGCTTTTTGTTTCACGCCAGTTTGGCCCGGCGCAGGCTCAATTCTCTGCGTTTGAATGCTTTCAAGGCGCGATTGGGCCCCGAACGTGGTTGTACATCATCATCCTCCTCCTCGGACCCATGGGCCTCCCTCATTGCCATGTGTATGTATATATATATGTATATATGAAGAAAAAGCGGAAACTGAATCCAGTGGAGGAGGGGGTGAAGTGTTGCTGCCGCGTTGGGCCTTCGCCGAGCTCAGTCGCATACCGGCCGCGTTTTCTTCTACGTCTCTGGTGTAGCATTCGGCCTGCATGTGGCCGCCGACGCTGCACATGTGTATGTGCAGCCGTGGGGCTGGTAGGAGGCAGGTCGGCGTGGAGAAAAACATAAAGTTCAATTTTTCACGCTTCGCGTACTTTGCATCGTTGATCCCCCGTACGGCTTGTGTCGGAGATGAGGCGCACGCACTGGCTCCGGCAGGCAGGTGTTGGTCGCTGCCGACAGCCTTACACCGGGAGACGCTTGATGCCTGGCCTTGCCCTGGGAACGGCCCTGCAGTGAGTGGTTCAGCTTTCTGCTGTTCGCGGTCGTTCTATTTGCAGAGCAATCTGCACAGCTCGTGTCAGTACTTCACATCGTTTTGCACCCGAACTGCGTGTGTCGGATACGATGTGCGTGCGCGCACTGGCTTCGGCTGAAGGTGGTTAACCTCGCTATTGCACACCAGTGGTTCGTCTACTGAAGGCTTCAACGCGGTCCAGCTACCTTGTTGCGTCAGTGGGTTCGATGAGACAGGCCCCTTTTTCCTTCACCATTGTCTACATGGTATCGCTTTTGTGTGTGCTGGTCGCTTGCTCTCGCTTTCGCACTGTCAGCTCGAGTCTGGCGTTGCACCGGCGACTCACTCTGCTGTCTCGCACTTGCAGCCAGTTCCCTTCGGTTTCGCTGCTGCGCCTATGTGCGTTTGCTTGCGCATTGGGTTCATTTTGTTCTGTGCATGTGCAACTGCGAGCGTGTCTTGCAGTTGCGAACGGCTGCTGGCAGTGGCGGCTGTGTTCGCAAATCCGCTCCGTGCCGCATCCCGGACGCTGCGTCCGCTCCCTGACATTTGCCTTGGAGCCGCGAACCAAAAAAGTATCTCCACCAGCGGCTCTCCTTCTGAGTGGCTGCCCGCTCGCTCGCTTCGCTGGACTTTCTTTTCCTGCTGCCTAGTCGCGCCTCGACTAGTGTTCGAACGGTTTTCTCGACCCGCCTCGCGAGCCTGTTGACCAAAAAGTACTTCCACCAGCCCATTCAGAAACTCTGCCTTTCAGAGCTGACGGGAAAACGGGCGAAGAGACATATCTAGGGAAGCAAAGCGAGCAATGGCGTGGCCTTGGAAGGCCTCTTCGGGCCATCCCTGGGTGCCGCGTGGGGACGAGGGGAAGAGGAGGAGGGGGAGGAGGATGAAGACGAGGAGGACGAGGAGGACGAGGACGCGGATGAGGACGAGGACGAGGAGGACGAGGACCAGGATGAAGACGACGCGGACGAGGAATCATGGAACCATCTAGAGGTATACTTTCGGCTGCTGCTGCTGCTGCTGCTGCTGCTGGTGCTCTCTGGGAGTTTGGGGGGCCCTCTTGGAACTATTTTTGGTAACCCTGAAAGGCTTCTTGGGATCATCTTGGAGACCATCGATTACAGGATGGGGCGGTCCCCAATTCGACTCCCCCCTCAGGAGCCGGCAAACCGCTTCTTAGGGTTCTTTCGCAGCGTTCTTGAGCGCTCTTGGAGCGGTCTTGGGGCCGTTTGGAGCATCTTGGGAGCCGTCTTGATCCAGCTTGGGCTATCTGAGCTTTCTTGGAGGCCATCTTGGGTTCTCTGAGACAGCTCGGGGACCTCTTGGGGGACTCTCGGGTGCCTCTTGAGGCCCTCTTGGGACCCTCTTGGAGCCCTCGGGGCTCTCTTGGGAGCCCTGGAGCGCCTCTTGAGGCTATCTTCGAAGCTATCGATCAAAGGAGGGAGGGTTCCCGATCGGCGCCCCCCCTCGGGGGCCACGATCCTCGTGAGAGGTGTCAAAAAACTACCCTCACAGGGGCCGATCGTGGACGCTCCAACGGATCGCGGCCCCTCCCGTCCAGGTCCAGGGGAGGGGTAAACCCCTCCCCGAAGGGGAACAGGATTTTTTGGAAGAGGAAAGAGAGGCAGCGGTAGACCACCTGTCGCCCAAAGGGCTGGTGGGATTCAAATAGACGGACGTTCGACGCAGCATCGACACATGAGCCCAGAACTAGCATACACACATTTATATACACATACACATACACATATACACAGCTAGATGTATTCCGAAATAAGTTAATGCATACACATACACACATACATACATACATACATACATACATACATGCATGCATGCATGCATGCATGCATGCATGCACGCATACATACATACATACATACACACATACATACATACATACATACATAAATACATACATGCATACATACGTACATGCATACATATATACATATATATATATATATACAGAGATAGATATGTACATATATATATATACATATATCGACAGACCCCCCCACACCCCCTCCCTAAACAGGATCCCCCACAGGGACGCCCCGGACGCCCTTTCGGACGTCTCGGCGGCCCCCGGGATGCCCTTGGAAAAGGTCCGATAGCCCTTCCGGGCCTCCCAGGGCGCCTTGCTGGGCCGTGCGAGCGGACGCAAACCGATCAGAGGGGTCATCGGAGAGGCGCAAGAGAGACCCAAGACAGCACAAGAGCGCTCCAAGAGGAACCTCGATGATCCGAAGACGGCCCACGAGGCCCCCAAGACGCCCCAAGAGGCCGTTAAGAGAGCCCCGCAGAAGCAAAAATCGTCCCATTCCCATTGGGAAACGTCTATGTTGATATAATCGTTTTTTCTGTCTTCGCAGCGTCCAAGACGGCCCGATGGGCCCCCGATCTCGCCCCATGACGGCCCAAGAGGCACCCCAAGAGGGCTCGAAGACGGCCTAAAAGGGCCCCAAGACTGCCCCAGAGAACCCCGAGACTGCCCACAAGAAACCCAAGATGCCCCCAGAAGACTCCCACGAGAGACACACGAAGTCCATGGGAGACCCCATGAAGGCCACTGGAGGCCCCCAAGAGGGCCCTAGATGGATTCAGAAGACCTCTGGAGGGCCCCAGCTCCCCAAGACGGCCCAAGAAGGCCCCAGGACGGCCCAAAAGAGCTCCAAAAACGTCCAGACGGCGTTCTCCGTGCGCCCGTTGCGCTCACGCCAGCCCGCCTGTCTTTCCCGTACCTCTATCTCTCGCTCTCTCTCTCTCTCTCTCTTTCTTTTTTTTTGTTGTTTCTCTCTCTCTCTCTCTCTCCCCATTCCCCCCTTCTGCCTTCGTCGTAGACCTCCACGCTCGTGGCATCCGATGGCCATCATCATTCGCCCGCTCCTTCCTCTGGATCTTCTCCCCCTTTCTCCCCCCCTCCTCCCCCCTTCCGCCTCTGCAGCCCACATCATCCCTGTTCCCTTCCCGTGTCCCGTTCATGAACAGGTGCCATCGCAACAGTTTGATGCTTCGCGCCGTTTGCCAGCATTTTCGCGCGCCCACTCCTGCGCACAAGCGTGCAAGCGCATCCGGCGAACGCGGTGTCAGCAGGCACCAGGGACATCATACAAACGTGCCGATCGCCCATCCAGGCCTCGAGGTCCACCCTGCTGAAGCAAGCGATGATGTATTGTTTTGCCGGGGAAGCGTCCGGAACAAGGCGCATCGCGTGAAACGCCAATGCAGTCTTGTATATGTATATATATATATATATATATATATATATAGATTATTATTCGGGCCCCTGTTCCACAACCGAAGACGAGACCGCGCACCGACGGGCGTCGCGAGGGCGCTAGACTCCCCTCTCATTGACGAGTCGGAGAACCGTGGGCCGAAAAGTGTTGGCGCCTCGCGTTGATCTCCTCCGCCTTCCGCCTGCCGATCCCCGCCGCCGCTTCCATTACTTACCAGGCCAACCCAGCCCATCTCGAAACTCCCAGACCCTCCGACTTTCGGGTTGGGCGGTGCGTGGGTTCCGCGATGTTTTTTTCCTTTTCGATTTTGCAGAACGCGAGCATTTTCTTTGGGTGCAGGGCAAAGGGTGGAATCTGAAATGCCGCTTCGGTTGGTTCTCGAGGCTTGAATCTGCAAAGGGTGAATTACAAGACGGATTGACTTCCGAGGTGCAAAAGCCCATATGGATTTCATCATGAGCTCTCTGAAGAAAGTGCTCAGGTTGTGCCAGATTGAGGTGGCTCGGTAGGCAGTCGCGTTAGGCGTCCGCCCGCCTCCGCCGGCCTTCGACGATGCGCGCTACCCTTGATTTGGCCGCGTCCCTCTACAGGAGGAACATCCAAACATAGTTTGAAAAATTGTCGGGCGACGATGTTTCGAACATGTTTGATTATGTTTGGTGTATCCTTGACTATTTGTGAATAGTTCATCCAAAATCTGCCTGTAGGAGGACATGCCCGGCCGAAGACCAACCCCGATGATCATTCGGCGCAGGAGGTCTCGTGTGGGCGTTTACACTGCCGTGCGGACGGCGCTCGTGCAGGCACCCTGCCACATTTGAAGCCCGGCGAACAGCGAACAGAGGCAAGCGCCGCTGGCCTTTCGCCGGCATCCGCCCGGGCCACATGCGCCGCAGGGTGCGCTGTTTCCCCAGACAGGCGACGTCTTGATTTTTTCACGGCGGCGTCCCGAGTTTTTCGCCAGGACCGGTTTTTCGTCCCGAGTCGTTTTCTGACGGCCCCCGGGCCCGGCGCGGGCCCCCCCGTGCCGAAACGAGCGAAACACCGCCGGTTTTTTTTGTTGTTTAACGACGCGATCATGTCCGGGCAGGCGACGCCGTTTCTGGAACGCCCCGATTTAGGGTAGAGGGAAAGAATTCGTGGACACTCCCCCGCTCCCCCAAAATCGAAGCAGGCACGCGCGGGTGAGACTGCGGTCGAAGTGCAGCTCATTCAACCCACCGCCAACATTGATCCCTGGGGGGTGGCACTGACAGACAAACGTGGCACGAGTGTTCGTCAACTTCTTCCGAGGCCTGCACCCACCGATGCTCGGGCCGCCGAGCCGCGGCCCGATCGAGCCGCGGTCTCCGGCCGCGGGCGGGCCGCGGCCGGGCACGCCGCCGGGGCACGGCGCGGCGGGGCGCGCGCCGCGGGGCGGGGCGGCTCGGCGGGCCAGCTCGGCGGGGCCGCGGGCCCGGCCGCGGGCGCGGGTGGTGCGCGCGCGGGTCCGGGGGCCGGGGTTTGTTCGTCGTCGTCGTCGTCGTCGTCGTCGTCGTCAGCGCAGCGGCAGCGGCAGCGGCAGCGTCAGCGTCAGCGTCAGCGGTGTGCCGCGGGCGAGGGCCAGGAGGGCCGCATGCGGGCCGCGGGTGGGGCAGGGGGGCAGCAAGCACAGAGACGCGACGCTGTCACTCAGCCCTCTTCCTGCTCATACGGGGAGCCGTGTCGGTGTCGAGATCCGTCGGCCTCAGCCCCAAGATCCTCGACGCCGCCGCCGCCGCCGCGAAAGGGCCGCGGTACCGACTGCGAGGCCACAGACAGCCCGCGTGCGTGATGCTTCCACGAGTGGCGCTGCGCTGATGCGAGAGCCACATTGGGAGAACGAGCTGCCGCGTCAAGCCCTTGCACGGCGCGAGCGCGCGCGACCGAGGGCTTGAAAACGACTTCCGAAGCTCTTGCGCGCGGAGCCCGCGGCGCGAAAGCAAATCCTGTCGGAAAGCCTTGTCTGTTCGAAGGCGCGCGGGCTCAGGGAAGCACCCTGAAAGAAGTCCTTCCGTGAAAGTGGGGGAGGGAGCGGGGTGCGGGAGGCCCGGAAGCGCCCTGGCCGGGATCAGTGAGGAGGCGGAGGAGGAGAGGAGGAGGAGGAGGAGGAGGAGGAGGAGGAGGAGGAGGAGGAGGAGGAGGAGAGGGAGAGAGGAGGAGGGCAAGGAGGAGGAGGAGGAGGAGGAGGAGGAGGAGGAGGAGAAGGAGGAGGAGGAGGAGGAGGAGGAGGAGGAGGAGCAGAAAACAGGAGTAAAGAGCAGGGAGGTAGCAGCAGGAGCCACGAGTAAGAAGCAGGGCTCGCACGTCGGAGGAGTCAGAATATGCATCTCCTCTCCTCCTCTCCCTACAAGCCGGAGCCTCCTCCTCGCGGAGGTCTGGGTCTGGCCCGCTGCCTCCCACGGCGCGCCCGCGCCGCGCGCGCCAGGGGTCGCTGGCGAGCGCGCCGGAGCTGGTGGTGCAGAATGCCGCCGCGGGCCCGCTGCGGATGGCGCCGGGCTCCCAGGCCGACCGATGACAGCGGGCACCCCGCGGCCCTCGGAGCGGCGCCTATGAGCACCACGCTGTGCTCGGCCGGCCGAGGAACCAATGAGTCTGGCGGAGGAATCGGGTGTACAGTGGAGGGCCCACGCCAAGAAACACCTCGCTTGCCTCCAGGATGTCCTGGGTTTCTTGGGTGTCGATGGCTCTACCATGGGGAGCGTGACGCTCCCACACCAAAGATCGATGAGCGTCTTGGGGTCTCGGGGTTGGGTCTCTTGTGGAAGGTCTCTTGTGGTCGGGCATTCGTTGCAAACGGTCGGGAACGTTGGCTTAGTGTGTCACGCCACTGGTTCTGGCCCATCACGCTTCGGCGTGACGCACTAACCCCCATCCCAGTCCCCGAGCGTCAACCTCCCAAGCCTCTCCCAGCCTCCCGCCCCGCGGAGCGGAGCGACACGCCAACGCCCCGCAAGGCGCGGCCTGCCGCTGGGGTCGCCGCCGCGGCAAAACGCTGGACAAGAGTTCCTGACCGTAGACTGAAGTCGGGCATGTCCCTCCAGTATGTGTTTCATTTGCCGTTCGAACTCCGCACGCAGGAGGGCATGCCCGACCTGACCGTGGACGCTCCAGCGCCCCAGAGGTTTGGAAGCTGGGGCTCTGTGGGCCCCGGAAACGGCAGGGCCATTTTTTCACCGTTTCCAGAAAGATGTCCCTTGAAATGGAAACGGCAAAAAAACGGCGACCAGAAACGGTAAAAAAACGGCTCCAGGATTGGAATCGGAGCAGGAACCGGTCAAAAAACGGCGACGGAACCGGTAAAGAAACGGCGTCGGAACCGGCAAAAAAACGGCAAAGCGGAACCGGTAAAAAAACGGCCCTGTCGTATCCAGGGCCCACGAAGAGCTGGGGTGCCTGTGCACCGAGCTCCTCGGCCGACCGACCGGCTCGGTGTCTGTGTGCTCGGAGCACCTCCCAAGTCCTCGGCGGGGGCCCCGGCGACAGGGACGCTGCTCGGCGGAGGGCCCGCCGAGACCGCGGCGGCCCTGGCGTCTTGGTGGGCTCTTCGTGGGCCCTGGATACGACAGGGCCGCTTTTGTTACCGGTTCCGCTTTGCCGTTTTTTCTGCCGGTTCCGACGCCGTTTTTGTTTTTTTCCGGTTCCGTCGCCGTTGTTTGACCGATTCCGGCTCCGGTTCCAATCCTGGAGCCGTTTTTTTACCGCTTATGGTCGCCGTTTTTTTGCCGTTTCCATTTTCAAGGGGCATGTTTGGGGAAACGGTGAAAAAACGGCCCTGCCGTTTCCGGGGCCCACAAAGGGTGAGCTCCACCCGCTTCTGGGGGGGCATCCTCACGGCCTCTCGCCGCCACGGCGGGATCCGCGTCGACAAGCGGGTCGGGATGGAGCCCAGAGATGTCCCAGGACGGGTCCTGATGGAGTCGGGCACGCCCCTCCTGCAGGAGGGAGAGTCAAGAATAGTGAAGGCTTGGTGCGGTGACGATGTCTCGTGCTTTGCGTATTGTTGGTTTTATGTTTGTTGATGTTTCAAGCATTTGTCCTCCGAAATCCGCCTGAACGAGGACATGCCCGACCTGAGATGATGAGCGGATTTGGGCCGGGTGGGATAGCCGTCGATGTCTCAAGTGGCCTTCCGAACTGGAGGAGACGAGTCGTGGAGAAGACGCTTCGGCCCACGACGCCAAGTTTCTGAGGATGCGTCCGTGTCACGGTTCATGGGGACTTTCCCGTCTTCGATCGGTGGCCGCATGCGAACTCTACCCCACCACACCACGAGTTCCGAGGGGGAAGGTTGGGTTCACTTTGCTCGGGATGTCCTGGACGAAGTGAACCCCACCTCCCCCCTTGGAATTCGTAGGGCGGTGGGATAGGGTTCGCATGTGGCCTCCTATTTGAGGCCCTGGCTCGGAGTGAGAGGAGGTGTTTCGCGCGTGTCTTCCATGTTCAGCGCCGCCTTGAAGAGGTAATCTGCGATGTGCACGCCCTGCCGCTGCAGGGCATGATGGTTGCTCGCCCCTGTTATCACCACTACCCATCGGACGTTGAAAGTATGTATTTCTGGAGTCCCAGATCCCAATCTACTTTACTTAAGCGCCTGCCTACTTCGATGATCGAGTGGCTGCACCGCTGCACCTTCTCCGTCCTTCTTTGGGGGCGGACGGAACCCAATCTACTTTCAACGCCTTCCTATTCCTGTTTCTTCCTACTTCTTCCGAGCGATGGTTAGTCCTCGGCGTCGCATCAGGCAAGCACTTGCTCACCTGGCTGGAACTCGCACTGGCAGGGTAGGAGTTCGATCCAGCGTGCCGTCGGCCATTGAGGCGAAAGAGGGATTCAAGCGTGAGGTGTCGCCGTGATGGTTCCGCGAGAAGGAGGAGGGTCGGCTATGCATAAGAGAGGCCCTTCGCTGGAGTGACCTTTGGGTGCGGGCTCACAGCTGTCCCCCCATCACTGGCTTGAAGCGGCATGCGCGCTTGGATTTCGGCCCCCCGCGGACCTGTAAAGCCGCGCATCCGAGAGCACTCTTGACTAAGATCGCTCTTGCGTGTAGCCAGGAGTCGGGTCGGACGAAAGGGGGGGATTGGGAGATGGAGTTACGACACGCTAGGTGCGTTCGCACCTCATCTGACATCCTATCTCTCCCTCCCATCCCTTCCTATGGCACTGAACTTTCTCTATCCGCGGACGCGTGTCATAGCCGACCTGCGACTCTCACAGAAAGGCCATTTCGTGTCATGCGCAACCTGGAAAATGGGGAGCTGTGTGCAAAGGAGGAGGAGGAGAATGCGGAGGGGGAGGAGGTGGCGGGTGAGCAGGAGGATGAACGGAAGGAATAGGATGAGGACGAACAGCAGCAGCAGCAGCAGCAGCAGCAGGAATTAAAGCGGAAGGATCGGGAAGGGAAGGAGGACCAGGGGAAGGCGGAGGAGGGGAAATGAGGGGGCGACAACGATGAATAAATATTCGGATTTAGAAAAGTGGCCCGTGAGGGTGCGAGACGAACAGCAGCAGCAGGAACTGGAGTGGAAGGAGCGGAAGGAACAGGAGGACCAGGGGAAGGCGAAGAAAGGGAAATGATGGGGGGACCACCGTGAAGCAAGACTCGGATCCAGACCGCTGGGGCGAGAGGGCCAGTCTGAACGACGGGAGCAAAGCGCCGATCCGAAAGTGAGGCCCACGCTGCACCGGGAGCACCGCTCTGAAACACCGGACACCCTTGGATGCTAAACAACAGTAAGACACATCAAGTTTTGAAGTCTTGTGCGTGTAAAAAGAGCACGCGGAGTGGGCGGAAAATCTCCGGGACAAATTCAGGGGAGGAGGGAGAGTATCTAGACGATCGAAATTGGCACAATGCCCAACAGCAGTTCTTGTTCATTTTGACCAGGTCTCGCTGTCAACGCCGCCGCGGACGTTGTTCCCTGAAGACAGAACAGGCCGCCTGCCCAACAGCGGCCGCTGTCGGTTTTGGATAACATTTGCTGTTGGGCATTGTGCATTTTTTTCCGTACCAATTTCGGGCGTCCACAGAGTACTCCAGATTTCGTAATAAAGGGAAGGGGGGTCTCATTTCGGGGGGGGTCTCTTCCAGGCTATCTTGGAGGGCCTCGGGGGGTCGGGGGACGATGTTTTTCAGGGTTCTCCCACGGGGGGGGGTCTAAAACTTCTCGTCTGGGGGGGTTGAGACCCCCTCCCTTTTATTACGAAATCTAGAGTAGTACTCATATAGGTTAATCTTGCAGTGCTGCGTGCAGCTGGCTCCGGCCCCACCGCCGTGCGCCTGCCTCGGAACGTGGGCGCCTTCCAGCGCTGGAGGGCGCCAGGAGGACCAGCTGCGCGAGCTCATTCCCTGTTCCCCTCTTTCATTATCCCCCTCTTCGTCCGACCCCAGGCAGGAGGGAAAACGCGGTGCGGAGATCGATGATCGAGGATCGGAGGTCGAGGATCGAATATCGAAGCTCATCGAGGGCTCGAGGATACAGCTTCGGAGAGCGGGAATCGAGGATGGAGGAGCAGAAATGGAGGGAGGGCCGACGGCCAGGGAGGTCTAAGATGGACGGCGAAATTGCCTTTCGATTTCTTACAGCAAGGCAGCAAGGTTTCGTATCGCATGCGCCTGCTGTCCTTGGGTTGTTTCGCTAATCCCGTGTTTACTTCACTCCCCATTTGGTCCGACCCGAGTATGGCCGAAAAGGGGGGGAACCCCTGCTCTTTCTTTCCCCTTCTCGTTCTCCTCTCTCATCCCTCCTCTTTTTTCCCCTCCTGTTGCTTCCCCCATCATCCCCTCGTCCCATTCCTCCCTCCTTCCTCCCCCCCCTTCTGCCCCCCCACATCGCCACCCTCGACGACGACGTGTTGACGACGACGGCGACGCCCTGCGTGGTCAGGGGTGGCGGCCCATGACGCCACCGCGCGTCCGCTGCGCCAGGCAGGAGGCGACCGGCCTGCCTCCGCCGTCGTCGTCGTCGTTACTGTTGTGGTCTTCGTCGTCGCCGTCGCCGTCGTCGTCGACGTCGTCGCTGTCGCCTTCGTCGTCTTCGTCGTCGTCGTCGCCTTCGCCGCTGCCGTTTCCGTCGCCGTCGACGTCGCTGCCGCTTCCCACGACGTCGACGTGAACGTTGCCGTCGTTTTCGTCGTCGCCGCCGCTTCCGCCGCCGTCTTCGTCGTCGTCTTCGTCGTCGCCGCCGGAGGAGGAGGAGGAGGAGGAGTGAGGGGTGGTCGCTGAGACCTTCCGATCCTTTTTTTCCAGCGCCCGGCGCCAACGATCCGGCAAGTCGAGTGGCTCTTTCTCTCCCTTTCTCTCTCTCTCTCTCTATATATATATCCCTTTCTCGTTTTCTCTCTTATTTTTTTTGTTTCCTCTCTCTCTGTAGATATATATGTATATATCGATATCCCTCTCTATCTCTCTTGTTCTATATCTCTCCGTGCCACCTCGCGCACGGCGTGCCACAGGCCAGGCGAGCAGTTCCGTGCCCGCGGCGCGCGCGTGCGCGAATGGGGACCTCCGAGCGGTGTCCTCGCCCCCGGGCGGCCTCCCGTCTGCCCTCCTCCTCCCTCACGCTTGCCGGCTAATTCCTCCTCCTCCTCCTCCTCCTCCTCCTCCTCCTCCCGCCATATATTATTCGACGCAAGCCCACTCTTGCTAACAT